AGATCTGAGCTGAACAGATACAAAGGTCTGACATAACTACCATTACTGTTGAGAAAGAACCTAGATTGTGAAATTTCACTTAGGTCAAGTTGAACTCTGCAACCTCGTTTCAGTGTTTAGCAGCCTCAAAAAATGAAGCCATTTATTTCTTCCATGCTGAATTTACCAGCATTCTGACAGTGGATGTTGTCACTGAACATCTGTCAACAAAGTAAAAACCAGAGGGCCACAGAATCATCCAGCCTGGAAAAGCCCCAAAACATCACTGAGTCCAACTATCAACCTGACCCAACAACTCAGCTCTCCACCTTTTCAGGTGCTACTGAAGTATGAATACCTACAGCAAGTGATACAATTCCTTGGCTATGCCCATATTTTTTGAAAGAGCAGATGGCAGGGCATTCCCAACAGCTGGAAAACCACCCAGCTTGACTGCCTGACCTCCTGACCAGCTCTCAGCATGGGCTCAGCCTGGCTCCATGACCTTCTGTCAGGTACAGCAGAAATGGTACCACGTACTTCTGGGCCCTTCATGAGAAATGACAGCTAACCAGAATGCCACAACCAAGCTCTGGTTTTCTCAAGCTATGCACAGACCCAGGAGCACCCCAGGTTCCATGGGCATTTCTGTTTTATGCATCCAAGGACCTACCCAGCTTCTCTTTTCTTCTTTCTGTTTTGCAACATCACTGATCTGACAGCTTGCATTAAGTCTATTAAATCTTTGAGTCACTGTTTTCCAAGGCAATGTTCCATTCCCAATTATATTACACCAGACTTGACTGCATTAAAATAAATTCTGTTTGAGTGGGACAGAAGCTCCTAACTGATTGGCATTGGTCTTGTGTGCTCCTCTTCAATTAATTATATCTGTCTATTCTCTGTTCTGCAAATTTCACCAGTAAAATTTTACTATTCTGCATCTAAAGAAGGGATATAGTCTCAGTAATTTTTTTTGCCAAACCCGTCCTTTAATTGTCACTGGTAAACTTTTAGAAGTTTTTCATGTTTCTGATATTTCAGATACTTTATTATCTTCATTCCCATTAGCTACAGTTCACTCCCTTATCAGCCATATGTAGCTTTTACTCCCAAGTATTTTTTCACTTGTTTTCCTGCATCCCTTTATACAAGTGGCATTCTTAGCAGGATTTGCATTGCTAAACGTTCAACACTTTGCACAGAGATTTCCTACCCACTGAACTCCTGGACTAACAGCAAGAGAATTATAAATGAAGCAGACTCTACAATAAGATTTATGACACAGTGATGCAGCATTTTTTACAAAAAAAAAAAACCAAAAAACAAAAAACAACACAAAGAGACAAATACAAAGATTGCTTCTGGGAGGCAAAGTGGCTTAATGAATAAATCCGTAAAGCTGCCGAATTAGCAAATTGGATACTACCTTCAGTTTGCATCTGAAGTCTGAGGGCTTGATTCATAATGAGAAATTCAGTGTCAAAGGTTAACAGAAGTACTAACAGCATTCATCAGAGAAAGTGAGTCCAGAACCACATCCCTTGGCAAAAATAGGAGACTTCTTCCAGAATGAATAGCTGTAAACAGTCCGTATGGATTTGATGCTAGCTCCTCACATAAGACTGCTGTTTTCAAATAAAATGTTTGCAACCTAAGTACTACAGAAACAATACTGAAGTTGTCAATAAAAACAAGTATAGTAGGTTTCTAAGGGTTCAAAATTGGAAAAATAAAAAATCTTTCCACTTTGTAAATAAAAACATTAATTTTTATACCTATTCATTTTTAATTCAATCACACTCATACTGAAACCTGGAAACCATGGGTATTACCTCAGGAAGAAACTGACAAAAGGCAGAATAATAAAATTTGGTCCATGTGATTAAAGCATAACTAAAAGCTTGGGCAATAATCAGCGATTTAATTGCGGTGATTCTCGGTATTTTCTCTCAGGAACCATTAACTGATTAGTAGCTATTCCAAATACTGGCACAGAAACAGAAAACAGACTCAGCAATTAAAATACGTGGAAACAAGGGAAGAAAAAGCCACAAACTCAAAAGATGAATGTCTGAATTTCCTGAAGACATCGCACACAGCTAAACTCAGCTTGTACACACGGCTCCTTCTGCATGCTTGACACTGTTCAACTCCATACACCACAATTATCAGCTTGCTACAGCTTCACACAGAATAATTCATAATATACCTCTTGCCATTTTAGTCACATTCCATGTAACTGAATGCAGCCTGGAAATAAACTTTTATTTTTAAAGGTTACTATTAACGCAAAATTCCCAACGTTTCATGCTCATTTCGAGGCAAGAACACTTCCATTCTACTGCAAATAGAGCAAAATGCCCCTATCTGGATTTTCACTGGCTATGGATTGGATTCAGATCTAACGTCTGAGCCACGTGCTTCTGCGATGACTCAGGCAGGAGGCTGGAGGAAGGACTGTGCAGTTTTCAGGGCACTGCCTCTGGGAATAACGCAAAGGCAGCAGCTTCTGAAATTTCATCTTTAAAAAGTAAAAGGCTCTCAAGGTTTCTAGCCATCGCAGATATCAATAACAATACATAAACAGTTGCAGGTTGTATGCATTTCCCCAGCATCAAAAATAAGGAAACAAAACCAGTCAGCAATGAGGAACAGAAGTGCAGTCTTTGCCTAAGCAGGGTTGCCATTTACCATTTGGATAAGAAAGCAAGCATCAATTTAAGCCTTTATAACTATACTGCTAGAAATCTAACAGTTATCCCTACGGTATTAGAAATACCATCCTTTTCTGATTGAAGTTTGGTTGTTTGAAAGGTTTCAGGTAAATGTGAAGTTCACACGTGGAGTTATCTATTTATTACTGATCATCATCCCTGGAGGTGCTCAGGAAACGTGCAGACGTGGTACTAAGGAACGTGGGTTAGTAGGCAATATTGGTGGCAGGTCAACGGTTGGACTAGGTGATCCTAGAGGTCTTCTCCAACCTTAATGATTCTACAATTCTATATTTTGTAGATGAGAACTGTATCAGCTGCTTAAGTTGAAGCCTCTTTCTTCATGGGGGTCTGCCCCCAGCTCTCTAAAAGCAGCGTGCAGCTCAGTGCACTTACACAGATTTGTTCTGTTGCTGTTGTTTGAGAGCAAATGTTACTATTGTTTTTCACTGCTACAATAGCATGAGTCTTCTTGGGAGGAATTCAGCTTGCCTGAGGACCAAGACTGGCAAGACAAAGAAAGGCTCTGATTAGCTGCTGCTGCTGTGTCACCAGCCCAAAGACAGCTATCATGAGTGGTGCCTGCACTACCATACCTAGTGGGGCAAGGCTGTGGCACAGGGCTGAGGTCACAGCGGTGGAGCAGGAACCAGATCCCACATAGGGATGAATTTAGATGCTTGGAAGCCCACCTTAATAGCCTTTGTGCAATGTTTTATTGGTAACTTTTATACAGTGCAAAACTTTTCTTGATCAGTTCCACTCTGAATTTCCTTCAGGAATCCTGAATTATTTCAGTCCTTTCCAAGAAGACAAATTACTACTGCTCAGTTTCTTGATGGTAACTGCTGGCACACAGGCTCTTATCTCACATAACAGTGTCTTCAGTTCTCTGTAAGGCAATGCAGTCCAACGTTGCAACAACTTCATAGCTTTCTTCAGCTGCGTGGACAGTGACAATGCAGGAAAACTCATACTGCTGATTCACACTGACCATCAAAGAGATGGAAACCCAAAGAGTTCTTGGAAAAGGGAGTTTCTGGTATGCTGAGTGGGACACAGAACAAAGCTTCTAGGGCAAAATGAGACCTCTGTTCTGCTGGCAAGAGTACAAGTACTTAGAACAGAAAACATACAAGGAAATCTTCTTTGTCAGGGTGACAAGGTAAAACAGCCATGCAAGGATTAATGCCTACTGGCTTGCAACATAAACCACTGATACAGCTATGGAAAAAGATGCCTTATTCCCCCAGGAATAGAGAGGAACCCTCCAAACCATTAGGAACTGTAATTAGAATGGTTTTTAAAAGTAATGTTTATACATTTAATTCCATTCTGTACTTTAAAGAATAAGTGGCTCTCTTAGAGGAAGAGCAGGAATACACATCAGGCTTTCTTGGGTTAATGAGACAGACAGCTTGCATGCTTACCATCACTTTCATTTGACCTGACGTGGTTTAGCTGTGATTACATCAAACCCACACTGTCAGTTAACCACACTGAAATACTGAAGTATCAAATCGTTTCTCTTTCCTGCCTAAGAAATTAACACAGAGCCATCCTTCAAAAATTCATGCTTTGTTCAGTCAATAATAGTTAAACAAAAATCAACATTTCTGAGCTGTCTCCCTTTCACCATTAAAGAGGATGAAGTTAGTAACAGTGGCAGACTTGCTTCCTCTCAAAGTCTTCACTGATGAATAAATCAGGAAATCTCGCTACGCTCTTCCAACTGCACATACAATTTATTCAACCATTTAATTACCAGCATAGCAAAATTACCATGACAAAGGCAAACGCAGACTTGGCAGCCTCCTTTCTGCCTCCAAAAAAGGTTATTTTGAAAACTCTTATATTTCTAGTATCTGCTCCAATCTCTAACAACACTCAACTATTTAATGCAAGCAGTGAGGAACAAATGTACAGCCTAGATACCAACTACCAGGTTAGCTATAGCCTTCCAGGGTTGAAGCAGCTCAGCATGATGCAGAAAAATTTATTTGGGCAAGAGACGAAAACTGAGGTCTAGGTGTGTACAAACGTGCATGGATTTTATCTGTCAAGTGTGTGGAATTTGGGAAGAGTTGTAACAGGAAGGAGATCGAGATGATTTTGTTTAGAAAAAGGGAGACACTTTTCTTATTTATTTTTGAGTATCTGGATATTAGCATGAAATAGGCATACTTTTCAGACCGGTAAACTCAAATTTAGAAAGTAGATAAGTAAAAGGAACCCATTTAAAAACAGTCACCATGTATTTCCAAACAGTCAAACATAGGGGTATCCTTTTAAAAGGAAACATACCTGCTTCAGGACTTGTTTGATTACAGCTGCTAGCAATGCTGTTTGGTATCACTGGAGTGGAGGATGCCTGGATTCTTGGCTGAGGTGGGTTCGGATGTAATGAATTTCCTAAAGCCATTCCTGACTGACTGAGCATCCCACAGTTCCCGCTAGCCTGCATCTGATTTATTAAACCTGCGAGATGGTTGGTGGTGGCAGGGCTAGTACCATGGACAAAGTTAGTGTTTGTGTTCTGGCAGTGGATACCTTCCCCTCGTAACGGTAAACTCTGTGCCAGTGAGTTCTGAAGAGTGCCAGAGTTCATACTGGTGTCTGCAAAATGCATCTGGTTACCAGAGCAAGGTAAAACGGTATTTGAGCTCCCACAACTGGTAGTACTATTGCTGCTCATGTGAGAGCTTTGACAACTCATGGACTGAAGTAACTGGGACATAGAGCTGATGGGAAAAGAGCTTTGACTTTGCTTTCTTACTAAATCAGATCCAGCTTTGGAAACTCCAGAACTCTCCAACTGAGACTGTCTCAGCAAACTCAACACTGTGGTGGTTGGCTGCTTTCTTTTTCTCAGAGGATCTTTTTGCTGAGACATCAATTTATCTCTCAGTGCTGCTCGACCACTTTGCCCTTCAGTCGTTGGTAGAAGCACATTGGCAGCAGGAGGGAACATGGTATTTAAAGTGCTATGTCCTTCGTTGTTGCCACCGCTGGCAACAGGTCCAGAATTGCTACTGCTGTTATTGTTGTTACCAGAAAGTTTATTTTGATTTGCTAGCTGTGCTTTGGCTGCTGCTGAGAGTAAACTACTTGCTGGAAAAGAGGCAGCATTGTGCTGGTTCAAGATCTGATTTAAAGGCATTCCCAGCAAACCAGGCTGACTCTTCAAAGAACCACTTCCAGCCGATGCAGTAGAAAAAACTGCATTGTTTGGAGGATTTAATACATTACTCATTCCAGCAATTAATGGGTTAGGGATGTCCTTGTATTGATTAAGTCCATCATGCTTGGTGGAGGGGCTAGATGGCATAGATGGTCTCGGCGACCCTATTGTTGACCGTGGGGACCTGGGAGGAACTTTAATACCAGTACAAGATGGCTGCGGTCCTACTGGAGGCAGCAGGAAATTTCCATGATCTGATGATGTGGAAGAAGAACGTGATCTTTGGGGAGAAGCCTCTATCCTTCCAATCCCGGATCCCATCATATGAACTGGGGATGTCACTGGTGAAGGAGATAGGGAAGTAGAAGCTGAATGCTGAACTCTTTGAACATGACTTCCATGGTTCATGTGACCAGGTTTTACTGTTGGCAAAGGAAGATTACTTGGCAAAGGGACGACAGCAGGAGGCATGCTTACATTCATCACGGGTACCTGAGAGTGGACATTTGAATGGAAAGTAGTTGGGTTAATGATAACAGGATTCTGATTGACTGGTTTGCTAGGAATAGGGTCAAGTATGCCAAGTGGATCCTTTTCTGATGTTAATGGCTTTTTCTGAAGAGCACAAGAAGGCGGTGGAGGAGGTGGAGGTGGACCTTGGGGTGGCTTATGGTGAAACATTGCTCGTGGTATTTCCATACCAGTTGAAAAATTACACATGGGTTTTTTCATTACAGGGCTTTTTGTGGTCAAGGTTGGGGAAAGAGGTATATTAGTCCTTCCAGCCATTGCACAGGATGACTGTATGGGAGAACCATGTAGCATTACTGATGGCGGAGACAGAGGTGTCCTGTTCATATGAATAGGACTTGAGTTGGGTGCTCCATGAAAACTGGGATTGTTCCTTGTGAAAACATCAGGGCTTCCAAGTGGGTCAGTCCTAGGAGAGATTGAGCCGTCTCCATATATCTGTGATCCTGATGAAGCTGGACTGGGCATCCCACCATGACTGCCACGATATGGAGACTTCTGTCCAAGTTCATTACTACCCAATCTCTGCCTAGGATAGACAGAATGAAGTTCTTGTTGCTGGCTTCCAGCCATTTCTTGCACATAAAGCCTACCCATGGCATTAGATGCCCCTATCATCAACTTGAAAGGAGTCTTACATTCTGGCATCACAGAATTTGTAATTCCTTCATGTGATTTATTCCTCATTGATCTTGGAGTTGCTGCTCGAGTAGGAACTACCGGAGTTGCACCTGATATTAAAAACACAACAGTTACTATTTTGAAATCTGGAATCACACATTTCAGTACACAAATAATGTGTGTGAAATCATTCATTACAGCCTTTTGGCTTAACTTTTGCTTAAACAGCAGTAATACCTAAATCACCAAACTGTTGCTGGAATGGTGCAGACTACCCTACTACAGAGCACAGATGAACAGATCACAACTCCATTTCCCATATAAAACTTGCAGATACATAAACAACTTTAGATCTCGTGTTTCTCAGGTTTTAAGCACATTTGCTACCCACTCAAAATGTATTTCAGCGCTGTTCTTTCAAAACTTCAATATATATACTTTTATTTTTTCCCCTTTCTCTAAACATCGTCTCCAGTTTTCTGCTCCTCAATTTCCAGCATCATCACTTCAGCTACAGCACCAGCTGGAAGTGCTGGCAGGAGGAGCAGTCTATCACTATCACAGGGAAAAGGAACCTCTGGCACCATCTATTGAGTACAGGAGGAACAAGGCCCAGGAAGGGTTTAGGTTAATCTCTCCTTGCTCTACAGGGAAAAAAAAAGCCCTGCCCCACAAGTTGTGCCTGATAAAGGTGACTGGGGAAATGCACTGTACTGCTTTGACATTGACTTCTCTTCAGCAAAACACTTAATTGCGTAGATCTGACAGGATGTGGCTGATGAAGGCAGGGTGCAGCATACTTGCTGCTCTGTGTCACTCCCTGGCACAGTGGGCACCAAGTTTCAGTCCTCTGAGTAAATCTGTTCTTAGGAACTGCTTTGCTAAAAAGGTTATATTATACAGTGTCTTGCAGTATTTTACTGAATTAAGCCTTTTCTAGTAGCTTCTGCAAAAAAGATTACCTTGGTATCAATATACTAAATTTAAGAATGGGCTCTACCTCTTATATTTGTTTTCAGGACAAAGAGTTTGGGGATATGCACACATTTGAACCCCTACAATAAGGAAAAAATTACTGTAAACTTCAGTGTTGAGACCTGATCTTCCAACACACAAAAGACCGCTTCCCTTTTCTGCCCATCAACATCAGTTTTGTTTAATAAACAAATACTTCTTCAGTGTCTTACTTTAAGAATACCCTCACAGGCAGCTCCAAGCCTGGTGGACTTTCTGCCAGCTTTACTGCTCTGGGGATTTGTAATTCAGTTTGCAGTGGGAACTCAGCGAAGGAAAATGATTGCATTCTTGGCATGCAGCCCCTAAATATGCAAACTTAAGCTTGAGCAGCGAGCTACAGATTTCATGTTCAAACAAATTCAGAGGTACCTTTAAATTCTCCTACACACAAGAACTCAATTCCCTTCTTTCCTTCTCTCCGGCCATAGGAGACAGATGGCACTGAAAATCCTGCCTTCATCCTATTTGCTGAACCAGCTACATCACGACAGAAACAAACACATTACCTTTCTCAAAATACAAGTCCCATTCTGGGGACAAATCTCAAGACTGAATTGCAACATGAAATACGTACAAGAACCCTCATGTGTAGTGCTGAACCCAAACAAATGGGCAAACGCATGCGTAAATGAAACAGTATTTTGTTTGCCAAGGCAAGTTAGTGGGAAATTTTCTTCTTCCTTTAGAGAATGAAATTCTGATCAATAAAGATAAAAATAAGATTCGTGTCTTAAATATTTATCTGTTTTCCTCTCCTTCATTTTGCTTTTTTACTTTTTAGCTGTAAATGTATTTTAAGTAACACTAATAGACAGTAATAAAAAAAAATAGTAAGGGAAATGCATAGCAACTCAGGAAATTGTACTGTTAGGTCTAAAAACAAGCCTCTGCTACAAAAAACATAATTTAAACAAAGATTTAAAACCATAAATAATCTGAAAGTGCAACAGCACTTGACTACTATGACCCTCACTGATGTCTTCTTATTGTCTACATGCTTGCAATTTATTATTATATATCCATAACATTTTTCACTTTTATTCAGGCTGCAGAGGGTAATTATCAAGGGTTGTTTCCCTAAAGTTGTGAGCATCACAGCATGTAGGCATAATCTTTCAGAGCTCTGTATTAAAAGTAAGTTTACTCCTTTGTCCAAACTACTTGGATTTGTAAGACTGTTTCAGACCTTTTCTTGTACTTGCAATCCTCAGAAAATACCAAATTTTCAATTTAAGATTCCACGTACTCTGTTTTTGTAGTCATTTCTATCAGTGCTAACTTTGTATCTTAGCTGAAGTAGCTCTGTTTTCTGGTAGTCATTCTCCTGATGCCTTTATTGACAGCAATTCTATCCCCTTTCAGTCACAATCCTGGGAGGCTAAGCAAGCTAAACACTTTCAGATGACTTTTTTAGAACAGATTCTGCACTTCCCTAACAGAAGAGCCTCTGCTCTATTTAAACCTGAGGGCCTCTAGCAAGAACAGTAGCACAGGAAGGCAGCAAGCACAAAAAGACATTTGTACCTCTCTGTCTTAGAATCACATTGGTCTGCACCATACTGCCATCTGGTACTGCTCACAGGCATCTTTGATCAGCTAGTAGATCCAGGTATTCTTTCTCAATAATTTAGGGCTAATAGCTTTTTTCCTCTAGTCCCCAGGTGAATAACCTTACAGTTAACAGGATTTGTTACTGTGACTTTTCTTTCACTCCAGGTGTCAACGATCCTCCAATTTTCCAAAATGTTTTGATCTTCTTTTGTTTCAAACAATACTCATCAGCTTCATCCATCAACAAAATTACTTGACTTTTGTTGATCTGGATAATTAAAATGCTAATCCAGGTTGGGCTCCCAAAATAATCCTTGAGAAATTACAGTGGAGATTTTTAGTTGTATATTCTGCCTTGCAATACAATTTCCCATTTAGCCAAGTCCTTAGCCACATTCTAATCCCTTTATAATCACTTTATTCAGCTTCCCTAATTTCCCATGTGACAGAATATCAGACATATTACTATGGTTCCAAAAGATGAGAGCTAATGTATTTTCTTTGTGTAGAACAATCTGATATCTTTTCCAAGAAAATCATGCTCTTAGTCTGGGATGACCTGCTTTTTAGATTCATTTTCTATCTACCTACATCTCTCTAATTACTACTTCCATTTTTAACTTGAATCTGTTTACTATTGCAATCACAGATATATAGGGCTTTTGGGGGTGTACATTAATTATATATAAAAAATTAGTTAGCTAAATGATTTTGCATGCTATTACTCACTTGTTCCACCACCAGGACTAGTTAGAACTAGTGAAGGATGTGGTGCTTCCATGCTTTTATGAAGTGTAGCCACAGCAATAATTTTTCTTTTATGTATGCATAGTTTGGTGACATCCTCATCTGCTTTAACATCTTCAGCAGTTCTCTGCTTCACAGCAGCTCCAGGATCAAAATTAAAGACCTGAGTGTAGAAATTCCAACATTTAAAATCATTACTATATTAAGGGCTTTTCATTTTCTGGGATTATGAAGGAAACTACACATCATAGTACCCACCATACCTACACGTTTGCTCTAAAATACACCCTATGAACCAAGCCCAGGCAGCTGGTTAGGAGCTCTACAGAAACCACCTCCTGCTGAAGCTACCATGTATGAATATCACACATGAACACGTTGCTGGTGATGGTAAGCTGCCAGTTTAATAGGAAAAGATTCAATCACCACGAGAATTGAGCCTCCGTGCAGGGAGAAGACAGAGAGGAGATTCACTTAATGGTGTGCATTCTATATACGAACAGAACAGAATTGAAGTCATGGCATAGCACATCTGCTGACATAGTTAGCTGGATAAGGATTACATTGCAAAAATCAAAAATTATTATTTCTTTACCTTGGGAAGAACAAGAGGACATTCTAGGCCACATTTGCAGGTTCCATCAGTCAGCAAGTAAGTCTTCACCTGCTCCAAGCAGGATAATAAAGACCCACTGGGACTGTAAAGAAACAGAAATGATAAATTCAAGCTATCTGACAGGTAATGACTTCTATCCACCATTCTAACAGCTCACATAGATAGAATTCGATACAAAGCTAAGATTTCATATTTAGTTTCATTGTACTTCTTACTTTTAGTCAAGAACTGAGAAGAAACCAAAAACAGTGAAAAAAAGAAGCAACATTTTAAAGAAAGATTTTACCATAGAAAAATGAACACGTGCAAAGAAAGCAATTGAGATGACTGATATTTACTCTTCAAAATACAATTGTGCTTGAAAGCTTTAATTATTGCCTAACAACATTACGATGAATTTCTCCATCTTCTCTCCTATAAAGTGCAACACATAAGCAGAGGGCAATCCCCACAAACCTCCCCCCCCAAATCCCATCCCTGCAGTTCCATTGAGGTCACTTCTACTTTCTAGGACTGGAATCTAATTTATAAAGAAAACACCACAAATGCACTTCAAGTATGAGAAAACTCATAAAGAAAAGAGAGAATAGTAGCACAAGTATTGGGGTTGGGTCTGTTATCTGCACACAGTGTAGTTCATTCAGCTGTAATTTCAACCTTCCCATTGAAAGTGTGAAATATTGCACCATGAAGCCAGCCCAGGAAGTTTCTGATAAACTGCACTTGGATTTCTCCTGCTCCCACCTGAAAATCATTATCTCCACCTCCAAAAATAGGACATTGGAAATTCTGTTATGGTAAAATCACTAATTCATAAGATGAAAAAAGTTCTCGTGTCAGAAGCCTCTAACTTTCACATTGCTCTCTATTACTTAGCCATCCAAACTGCTCATCAGGAAAAGAATACAACAGTTTGAGAGGACTGGCTGAAACACTGGTCCTTAAAAGCCCTTATTTTAACAAAAACAACTTAAGTGGAAGAGTCTGGATGATGAAAACAGCCAAGAGTCAAAATTCCAAACTATGATGAACTTTCATACTTAAAACCTGATGTATAAACAACTAATGAACAACAAGAATTTACTCATCTATAAAGCAACATCTGCAAATGTCATTAAAAGTTACATTAACAGTTTCAGTAATTTACTTGCCAGATCTGCCCTAACATGATTATTTTAGAGAGAATCACTTAGGTCGAATACGTGTAACACTGACATTTGAGGATAAACAAAGTAAAAGCAATCTAAAAATAATGGTAGAAACATGAAGAAAAATGATTTATAGGTCAGCCTTCATCAGCCTAATCTGAGCAAGCACACCGGAGCAGCCATGCAGCATAGGTGAGGTCCTCACCTGGGGTGTTACAACTTCCCACAGGAGAACTGCAGACTGGCATTTGCTCTGTACTAGCTCATCTACACACCAGTAGCTTTTAGTAAGCTTCACTAGTGCACAGCTTGCCTGGAAAATGCAGCTACAGGTGCAAAGAGATAATGGAGACTGGAAACAACAGACCCATAGGGTATATGTATAGACCACACGAGGGTGTAAAGCAAGCTCTGGATAACTCATGCTTACCAGGAGCACACAGAGCAGCCCACTGAACCTGTGGCATTACAGGATTCACCATACCTGCTGCATGTATATGCAGGGCTATCCGTCCACTGAAATACCAAAATTAAGAAAAGGCCCATTTTTTTTCTGTTTCTGCTGAGTTCTTGGGCAGAACAAATGGGCACGTGCAATGAAATCTGGATATACAGACCAGCCCAACTGATTCATGCCAGAAATCATGTCTGCTGCACAGTTATGGACTGCACGGACCTACGTAATGGCAAGGCATCCTCTGTGTGAACAAATTTCCTCATGTTTCTGTACTGTAAAGGACAATCTCTAAGAAACTATGAAGTTTTTTTGTCACTCTGGACATCCAGGGGTTTTAAGACTCCAAAGAAATACGAGAGAACAAATTACATATTTGCATCAGTTACTGACAGTTATGGAATGACTATCTGCTATTAAAGACCTTTTCTCAGTTTATTCCACTATGACTATTTGCTTACAGTAACCTGAAGAAGAGATTATCTCCAAGCAGCACTGTTAGTTACTAAGAAAGCAGTGCTTCAACCTGATAATAAAAACTAATTAATAGATTTAACTCAAAGCAACCGTTGACAGCTGATAAAAAGCACATAAGCTTTATAAAGAAGCACAAATGCACTGAGTCTTTATTCAGCTGAGATCATCTACTCTTAATACAATACACTTATTTTCCTCTGGATAGTTTTTGAGTCAGTACTGTTTGGCCTTCCTTTCCTTCGATAAATGCAGTGAATATTTTCAGGGTGGTTGTTCCTTTAGAAGGGCTCAACAGCAGCTTCTCTAGAGAGCTTAGGGAGAGCTCATCCTTGAAGATGCAGCTAACAACACCAGCAAGTGACCTGATGGAGTGCTGCTCACATGCCACATTGGATTAGATGACATTCATCCCTTCCAACATTACTTTCTACCCCATGCCTTTCACCAAATAAGAATGTGGATGAGCATCCAGACAACATCTAGGCTTCCCTGAAGGAGGATGGCTTACAGAGGAACACCAGCAAACTAAATATTGGATTAAAGAAAGTACATGGACAAAACTTGGAAAGAGGGCAGAAATAATACTAGCTTCCCCAAAACGAAAAAGACAGCTGGTAAACTTGATTAACAGGGTCAACTGGAATAAAAACAGTGTTTCTCATAAGGCAATTGAGAATAAAAGTATTAAGAAACAACAAAAAACATATTAAAAAAGAAGACAGAAGAGCAAATAACTGTCAGAATTATAAACAAATTTACTTGTTCTAAGCATGTAAGACTTCTTTAAGAGCTTTATGATCTGTTGCTTACAGCTGTAGAAAATAAAATTCAGAAACAGGTGGGCTCATTAGGCATATAAAAATAGCAAAGAATTTTAAGTCCTGATGTCTGGATACAACAATGAAAGGGGAAAAAAAACCTAACAAAAAGCACCACAAACCAAACAACTCTTTCTTTTTCATTGATTTTTAACTGAGGCAGAGGCCCAGTAAATTACAGCAATAATGAGAAATACAAAGGGAAGGCTATTTATCTTTGACATGCATATCACTGACATGGATTTTGTTTGATTCTGCCAACTGAGAATATAAACAAGAAATCCTGGAATGTATTTGATCTTTTATGGTGGTTTAGTGTAAAACTGGAGTATGCTGAGACTCATTAAAGAATTTCATATTGTTAATATATGAAATGTTGCGTACAAGAAGTTATTTTAATCAGAAAAGAGTGGAATAAGTATAAGATAATAATAAATTGATAATCATTTAGATTAATGCAATGTAAACCTGATGTACCTACATTTTGTTAAAGCTAACTTTGATCTTTTTCCAATAAGATTTAATATGCAGTACGTTTGTCTGAACACTCATTTAGCAGTAATTTCAATACATTCCTTTCAGACTGCTCCAAGATGAAGGAAAAAATTCTATAAGCTAGGAAAATAAATAAATAAAATAAATAAAATATCTAAAACTTTGGTTTTAGGCTTGCCTTCTTGTATATTTTTTGTTTCTACATTAGAAATGGGAGGAATCTGTAGAAGTCAGTCCTGCCAAGGCACGACAGTGATTTTGTACAAAGAACCTTCATGGGTTTTAAGATGGGCTGATGTTTTCTATGGCTACTGAGTAGAGTTACACCATTTCATTTCCTTTCAAAAGAGAGCAAGTAAACCACAAAAGTACAGTGGAGATCTGGAACATAAACCCAAAAGAGACAGCAAAGAAGAGTTACTGAATGTCAGGATAAAGTTGCATGGCACCACACAAACTGAGCTGAAGTCAGAAAAAAGTCCCACTCTATCTTATCTGCAATGAATTGTTTGAATGCCTGATTGTTCCTTTGAACATGACCAGCAAACGGTCTTGCAGAAAGCTGGTGCTGAGCAAGGAAAAGGCAATGAGAGAAATTTCTCATCAATCTCAGACGTGACCTAAGAAATCCTCTGGCTAGTTTCATTGTAAAAGGCTTCAATAATGGAAGTATTAAGTCAGGTTAAATCTGCTACTGCTCAGCTTTAAAATCCACATGACGATAATAAGTAATAAAGAACTATTCGTGCCTAAAGCAAAATGTATAGTAAGGATATCAAATTTTCAAGACCAAGTAATATTAGATTTGTAATGACAGAGCATGTGCCAAAGGCATGCAAATGGCATAACTCAAGTGGACTCCATCAATATCAACAGAATGAATGATCTAGCACTTCCAAAAGGATACGCCCTCAAACTCTTGGAGTGTAAGATCTAGCCAGGTCACTAATCTACCACATGTTCTGGCAAAACTACAACGCAAACAAAAACAGTAACCACTTTAGATAACCATACCTGATATAGAGCACTCCACTTTGGTCCACCCGTCGCTGCCAACCAACGGGAACTTGCACTGCTGGTGGCCCTCCATCCGTGTCCCCTCCGTCACACTCCTTTCCACCATTCATTTTTCTGTTTCTGTTTATGAGTCTTCAAAGATATCAACAGTAAGATGATATCCTTTTACTACATGTCATCATGGCCTCCCAAAGAAGGCCATTCAGTACATCTTTCCCCAAATTGTACAAAGTGCAATGGGAGGCTCCAGCTCAGTTTGAAACCAAGTCCTTAAAAGTGGCCATTTTTGTTAATGAGTCAGTTTCCCATTATAATCCACATTAAATATGCAATGTTTAACTCCTTATATATTCATAAGGACGAACTATATAGATAAAAATTAGTGCTTCCAACTTGGGAAAATCATAATTCACCAATCCTTTGTTACCTGTCAGAAAGGAGAATGGGGAAAAGGAGAATTTCTAGTTCAACAGCATGGTTCCAAGCTTGATGACTAAGATAACTTGTATTTTGTGAAAGCTCGTCTCATTTTTATAAATATGAGTCAGATCTAATACCTCCAGGTATTATACCCTTTATATGCCACATTCTTTTTGTTTTCTTTTTATCTTCTGTTCATTATCCAAGTTCTCTTCTTGAGTTTCTTTCATGACTTCCCGGCTCCAACAAAACAGCCTGAAAAATACAGACACAGAAAATACATCAGCCCTTGCCTGAAGTCTATCAGTCCAGTACAGTAATTCATGAAGATGTATACAGCTGCATCCACTTAAAGAGCTTAGAATCAAAATTTCAAATGTCAATGAAACCATCATAATATGGGTTATGATAAAAATACAATCTGGCTAACGTATTTTATGATTATATGTGGATGCAGCTGTACTACATCTTAAAAGCCAAGACAATGCAACTTCTATTAAATGGTTAAAGCACAGTTTGGGTGAATTAAGGGATATGTCATTTAACTGGGGAGTTTCACATATGCTGCTACTCAAAATTATCAACAGATGACTAGCTCTATTAATGCCCTTTAAAAATTGTTTATAAAATGGAACAAATTTAATGTGAAGGAATCTGCTTCTAGGGTTGAGAATATCAATAAAATCTTACATTTAGATTAGATTCAAACAATAACTTCATAAAAAAAAAAAAACAACAAACACTTATACAACAAACAGGAAAAAGTCAGCAATTATGATTTCCCTAATCAAATCTAGTTTTAGAATCTTCATGTTTTTCTGTACTGATCTCAGTATTCCTATGAAAAAAATCTGCTATCATAAATAGTAACTTCCCCCCATGCTATTATACTATATGAATGGATTTTTGTTGCTGTATTTCAGGATTAAACAAAGTCTGCTGTTCTTCAAAGAAGTTTTCCAAGTAGACATGACTTCATTTTCAAGACCAGAAGTTGTACTGAGGTGAGACAAACATGGAATATTTCATGTAAACAGTACATATAAGAGATCTATAGAACACAAAAGAAAATGGCACTGATGACTATTGTAGCAATGACATTAATGGGTTTTATTTGGAACTGCATGTCAGTTCTGCTCTACTCCTAATACTAGTGTTATGCTAACATTAAAAAACATAGTATATGTTACTGTAGATCTTAAAGATTTTAGTAAGAAGAGGTTTTTTAAGATAGAAGTGGAATATTAAGTCCAAGGATCCTATGTTTCTGCAACAGCAGTATAAACAACACATTACATCTACATTTACCAGTAACAGCAGCCTTCCCTCCAGACTAGAAGAAGTCTACAGAGACAGACAGTCCTCAAAAATATTCTGAGTACACTTACACAGTACATTCTCTTTAGATGTGCTACTTACAAATGTAAATTTCAAAATGCTAAATAAAAAAGAATGTTTTCAAAACCAATATGGACTGGGAAGGAGCCAGCTGCACATACCCCTTGGTTAAGGGCTGAAATCTAAAGATTAAAGATTAAGAAGGCAACAGATGACATTTCATCAAAAGCAAGGCAGAATTTAACTTTCAGCATTACTGCTGAATGGTGTATTGGCAGATCTATTACAGGTCTCATGTAAGGCTAAAATAGGTAAATAATGTTTTTTACAGAGAATTAGCTTTCTATAATACAGTAAAATCTGACTCAGAAAATACACACACAAAATACTGGAAGCACATATCGCAGAGAGCATTGCTAATCTCTTTGCACAGTCTTACTGTGGCTCATGTTGCTATTTAGGGCAATTACACTGGATCCATTACGAGAAAAAAGCCATCACTTTCTTTTTTGCTCAAACAGCAAGAGACACTTTGAAGTAACCCTATATTTCTACTGGTTCTGCAGTACCCCGCATTAGCTAACATCCCATTCCATCACCACCGCAATACGTATCAGATAAACCACTTTTCTGTACACTGCCATAGCTTGAAACAGTACCAAAAGCAGCAAAAGAATTCATGTAGCTGTCTCTTCTGCAGAGAATATTCAAACATTTTTACTCAGCACAATGGACTGGAATACAATGGCTGCTTCTATCATATACCTTCCGTCCAAATTTATTATTTGCATGACTTTTGCCTGAGAAATACTAGAGGCTAAAAAATGTAAACTAACACAAACACTCAAGCGACCTGCAATATAAAACTGAATCAGAACATATGTGCATTATCCATTCTTCCCCAGGTACAAAAATACTTCAAACAAAACACTTAGGAGAAAACAGAACACTGCTATTCACACCACAGGGTTTGACCTTACAATTTACCATGTGCAAGTGGGGCTCTGTGAGGATCTACTGATGTTTCTGTGTGCAATGAATTGTTGAAAACAAGTCTAAGGCTCTCTGGAAGCTCCGTGCAAGTGCGCAGCTAATCAGTGAGTACTAGAATGGTTTTATGCATTTATATGAAAATATAAATATATTTATAAATGAATATATATAAAGTGAGGTTGCTTCACAGTTCTGAATGAATTGCCACAAACTGCAGGCAATAAAGTAGCAAAGATGCTTTGAAAGCAATGCCTCCTAATTATTTCCATGGAAATGACAATGGATAAAAGGAACACAATAACACTACTGGATAGAGAAAATTCTCAGCTGCAAAATGCTCAACATAGTCACCACCATTAGCTCTGCATTTTTACCAGTGATGAACAGCAGCGTGCAAGTTGTGCTTGTAAAAATCTGCAGCAGTAGAGGTGATCCATAGTTTCACAGCTGCTAAGAATGCGTTATTGCTAGGAAAATGTTGCTCCTGCTCTCCATCTTTCATTGTCCCATACAGATGGAAGTCAGAAGGTGCCAAATTTGGACTACACAATGGGTGCTGTAGGACAGTTCATCCAAGACTGGCAATGTTCTCCATGGTCCTCAAACTGGTATGGGGCCTGTGTAGCAAGAGAAAGATTCTTTTCTACTCTGGCTTGATTTCTGGAGGTTTGAGCCTTCAGCTTAGTCAGTGTCGTGATGTAGTGAACAGAGTTGATGGTTTGTCCAGGTTGCAGGAAATCCAGAAGGATCAACCATTTCCTATCACACAAGGCAGTGCTTATCAATTTACCCATTGAAGGCTGCATCTTCAACTTTTTCTCTGATAGGGAATTCACGTTGCCACTCCGTGGACTGCCATTTTGGACTCTGGCTCCTAGTGGTGACACCACATCTTGTCACTGGTAATGATGCAATCCAGGAAACTTCAGCCTTGTTTAATAGGTCCTGACAAACTTGCATACAGTGTTTTTTCCGTGCCTATGTGAGCATCTGTGGGACTCACCTGGCAAAAACTCTGCAGTATTCCAACACTGCCATCATCATTTCCAATACACTGAGGCCAACATTCACCTCCCCTGGTTGTAATCCACTGACCCACGCAGATAGGCTGATCAACCATCCCTGGAGGTGTTCAAGAAACATTCAGATGTTGTACTGAGGTTTTGTGGGGAATATTGGTGACAGATGGGCGGTCGGACTGAATGACCTTAGATCTTGTTTCCAACTTTGGTGATTCTATGATTCCATGATTCATTTCGTGGAGTGACAACTATACAGGGACGTCTGGAACACGGTTTGTCTTTCATCTTGCTGTTACCATTGTTGAAATGCAGCACCCACTGCCTCACTGCACCAACACCCACTGTTTGGTCTCCATATGAATTCAGCAAGCATCAATGAATGTCCATGGGAGCAATTTTTTCTGCATATAAGAATTCAGTGACACACACCTTTGCTTCATATGCACCTCCATGGCAGGTGCCATTTTGTCTGACTGCCCTGCCCCTCTGCTGCCATTTGTCACACAGCAATAAAACGTAACAAAATATGCAGGGAAGGTTTAACCTCTGCTGCCATACCACCAATGTCTTATTTTGATGTGGGCCAACATAATAACACAGGAGGCATTACTTCCGGAGCAGTCTCATATATAAGGTAAGCACTGCCTATTTCTGTCATGCATAAATTGCAAAAATAATAGATTGCCACCAATGTTCTGGTAGAGAAATTCTTCACTAACCCTCATGTGCTGAGTTGCTTTATTTAACAGCATAACACCATTGAAAAGTTAAGCACACTGCGGACTTCTCCCAAATGAGTTCATCCTCTCCACATCTGATTTAACATAAGGCACCCTCTGCATTTTCCCCATACCTGGTTATCAGTCAAACAAAGAAAATGGAGCTAAGGAAGACAGTGGTGAAAAAGAGGTTAAGACTCACTTAATACAGTCTGAGTCTGGCTCTTTTTCCCCCTAACGCTGACACGGGCTGGATTTATAAAACGTTTTATATGCTAAGACAGCCTAGACAAGAAGCTGAAGCATAAGAGGACAACCAGAGGGAAGTGGAACTGCTCTGTGGGATTTGCAAAGTCCTGTCATTGCAAACAGACATGATAATCCCAGCAGGGATCAGCATGGCCAGCAATGCTCTGCCAAACAGAGCATCCCATGGACAACTCAACCCTTTACGCTTCTGACCAGACCAGAGTCTTCCGACTGCTGAAAAACACTCCTTTGATGCACCATTTTGCTTTTCAGTATCTAAGTATTCTAACCAAAGTACTTCAGATTGGTTTAGAAAGCATTTGGATTTTGGAGCAGATTCAAAATGTTTTGGACACTGGATTCTACCCAAAGGGCTGATTTTCATCAACCCGTGTAATAAATACCTCTTCTCTGTAATCTCATAATAACTCCAGACAACTCATGTTATCTTACCACGAGGAACACAACTTTCCACATCTAAATCAATTAATCCTTTTTTCTGTGCGCCAAAACATGCCTTTCAGATTTGTTTTGCAGTCCACTTTCATTATAATATGCTTAAAAATATTTCACTGAAGAACTATGTAAAATGACACCAAATTGTTTCCCCAATCCAATCCCTCAAATATCTCCCCCCCCATGAAAAATTTCCCCTTAACTTTCACATACTGAAAGTATGTTTTCCATTTTTAATGCATCTGTCTCACTTTTTTGAATGCTGCATTCTGGAAGCCTCATTGCACACTCAGCTGAAAATGTTTAACGGTTTTTGAGGCAATACAGAAAACTTGGTACAAGGTTAAAGAAAATTAAATTAGATACTAATAGTCTGGATTCAGATCCATCACATATGATATGAATACCAATACAGCCTTTCCTTTATTAATAAGTGGATATAAAACCAGTAAATCAAATTTTGACAGTCTAATACTGCAAAGATGCTCTCTAAGTTTTTTCTTAAATGACCCTTTAAATATGCTAAACAATTCCAGGTATTACAGGGAAAGGCTACTTACAGACCCCTGAGAAATGACTGCCTCTGGATGCTTGCTAATGGGATGGTGACAGATTTTGGGCATAAAGTTTTGCAAACCCTTAGAATATCCACAGAACAAAATCAGTATAAATACAAATCCCGTTCTCACTTTCCAGGCTTTCCTTATATCACAGAAAAACCTACAAGACATTTGGAAATGGAAATGCACTCAGATTCCTGGACTGATTTTAAGAACTAACAGGAATGTTTTGCTTCTTTCAAAGCATTGTTTTCAAACTACAGAGAGTTAAAATAAGGTTTTGTTTAGTTATTATTTGCTAATTATTAGTTTGTCTATCAAAGGAGTTAGCTAGGATTCTCCCGTGTCACCTAATCAGAAATGTTTCATTGCTTTTTGGGAATGTTTTTTACATTTTGAAAAGAAGCTTTCTCTTACTAATTAGAATTGAATACCTTATGAAGCTTGACTTTTTATGTGAGTGACTCAACAATCTACTACAACCTCCCAAATGTAGAAAGGAAATCTTTTTTCCTTCAAACTTATCTTTCTGTATTGGAATCTCGCAGTACAACACTACTGTATAAATGATATATTCTGTCTTCTGGCTTGAGAAAGATATCTTCATCCTACTTGTAAATAAAGAGTTGCATTTCAACAACCTGAAAAATGTTCTGAACAGAATGATCTTACTAAAATCACGCACTTTAAATCGTCCTAGTACCAAATCAGTTTATACCATCCAACTACCTTTGGTGCAACAGTATTTTGAGCTTTATGAAAGACAATTTTATTATGTACAAGGTTTATGTAATTCTAATTTATACTGGCTTTGATGCAGCAATTTTTCTAAGATTGGAAGACCCCAACAATTTAACCACCCTAGAAGAGGACAGCTATTTGGGAGAATTCGCTATTAATTAGCAAATAACTTCCAGAGCCCAGGCCATGCACTCGTCTCTGCATCCTCAGTTAATGAGCTGGCCGTGCCCCAGCTAGGGCACTTGCATTCTGCATGCAGAAGGACACAACCCTATTGCATGTGGTTGCTTTTACTGCCAGGCTGGATGATCAAAGCAGTCCTTTCAGGCCTGCTATCTAGGAATCTCAGTAATAAAACAATCTTCAGCTGTATCATGGCTAGATGGGGAAAAGAGCCTGACTTACATTCATGGATTCTAGCTATCACTAAGAGCATATGATACAAACCTCCTACTTTTGCACCAGCATGCTGTTAACTAATCACAAGCTGTAATCCTTGCATCAGATACCCATCCTGTCCGTGCTTAAAGGACAGGTAAAATGCAGCTGATTGGGCTGTGACACATCCTTCACTGCTGAGGTTTAACTGTGTTATCACAGCAATTGAGGTTTTCACTTCCAGTGAAAGCAGAGAGAAAGCACATCTTTTTCCAGAACAGATGACTACCTCTGAAAGCACACATGTGCATGGACACATACATACAGCACCTCTGAAAGCGTTTTGGTAAAAACTAAAGTGAGCTACATGACAATCAAAAAAGATGCTGGGAATAATTATTTTTCTTTTTAAATCTCAACTCTGTCTGCTCAGTAACAGCGATCACTTGGTAGAGACCAAAGATACAGCAGTCAGCATGCTTTCAGGCCTTCCACCACATTAATTTCTTTCTTTGCAAGCAAAATAGGTCAAAACTGTGTGTTTGTGATAGGCCTTCTTATGAGCTGAAATAATGTAAACATTCAGGTTTTTCTATTTTTAAATTTGAAACTAATATTGGGTATGAATGTAAGCTACAGAAGAACCAAGTTATTCTGTAGAGAAGAATATTATGCCACCACTATCAACAAAATCTTTTTTAGGGTATATAATGAAGCAGAATATTACTATCTTATATACTAATAACGGAAAATAAAGAAATATTATTCCAGCAATCCATTTTGTCATCTAAAGAGGAACTAACGAAAAGCATGTCCATCTTCAGCAAGTACAAATCCAGGCTCAATGTTTGTTTGTTTGTTTTAATTATGTTTTGATTTTTAATGACCAAAAGTCATCGGTGCATTTATTTCTCACCGGTGGTGTTTCAACATGCAAAGTTCTATCAACCCTATACAAACTGGTTACTTCTTCTATTCTGAAACAAGGCACCAAATAAAATACAGCATAAAAGAGGAGAGACGTTCCTAATGAGGATTTTAAAGGACTCAGCCTTCCTGAATGTAAAGAGAAGTTATACCATCCCACACACACTCAATGTATCAGCTTTGCAGCTATGAAGGTCATTTTGGTTTTGGCCTTTAGGCCTTGCTGGATAAGAAAATCTGCCTCCAAAATCTATTTTGCTGCAGAAAAGTTTTGATTTTGTCAGTGAAATTCTTTACCACTTTTCTGTATCATTTTGGAACAAAAATGAATTGTTAGCTTTAAGATAAGATATTAATTCTCTGTGGCTTCAGGTATTGTTCGTGGTTGTAACTCATTTTTCTACAGTGGCTGACGTCCTGTTGGTTCCCTATGAAACCATCAAGCTCTAGAAGAATCTAAAATGGACATTTAACATAACAGACCCAAAGTAAGGAAAAAAAAAAAGATTGCAAAATAAGCCTACAAGAGAGAAGTCAGGCCTCCCAAGACCTATCAAATGATAGAGCTACAGGTATTGTTTGTATATTATTGTATATATTATTCTGGCCAAAGTTAAAATCACTTTAAAAGGAGATCGGAGAACATCAGCAAAGAACAATTTGGTTCTTTTAATACCCATGTTTTGGGATTAGATACAATCTGGAGTTATTAAATGTAATTCTGTCATCACAGTTTTCATAATGGAGATTTTAAGAACTTCAGGACCATTTGATGCAGAACATTCTTAGGTTATCTGATAAAGAAATTAAGAAAATAAATAGGTAATAAGTACTGTAAATGTTCAGTGATTGTTAACAGCTTTGCTGTATGTTATTGACTGGTTGCTAGAGAAACAGTTATCTAAGGAAAAAAAGTTAATTTTATAAAGAGAGAATATTTAAAAGTAACCATTTGAAAACCTGAGCATGAGAATTCAATTTGATTTTTATATATTGTCAAAAAATGGAAAAATCAGTTTGCTGGAAATACAGTGAAGGGCTTTGATCTCCTGCTGTAACAATTACTCAGATTAGCTCCAATCTCCATTAGCTGTGCAATGTGACGTGGAAAAAGAAAGAAATGGCAAAAATGAAAATCTCACTCCCATATGTAAATGCAGATGGCGAATAAACCAGATAAACTTCCTTCGTGTTAGGCACCTGAAGTTCAGGACACAGCAATATTTAAATCATCTGAATAATTCAGACTGAATTTCTGTGCAAGAGAATGTCAGAAACGTAGCAGGATTGCAAATTAAACCTGTAAATTATGCCTTCTGTGCCAAAGTCATAGGACTGCACTATTTTTAGACACATGGAACTTTTTATCCAAATACCATTTTCTGAATTGTTTACTGAATTCTGCATTTCTACTCAGTGATTTCCTACATGAAAAAAACTTTCAAGATAATTAAAAAAAAAAAAAACCATAAAAATTAGCTATTCCTGCATCTTAATGCAAACTCCAGAAGTATCGAGCATAAATGCAATTGTTTGAAAGCTTAGGCTGCCTCTCTGAAATTTGCTGTGCTGCAAACCCATGCCAGATGATGCATGAATCTCCTTCTAGCATTAATGCATTATTACTCACTGCCTTTCAATGACACACTAACTGAAAGGGTGAGTATTTTGAGAATTTGCCCCCACTGTTTTATTTATGAGACAGACAGTGTTAAAAGACCTCCTCTGTTTTCTGAAAGATCACTCAGAAGTTTAAGAATATTTACCAAAAAACAAGTGGGTGATTCTACTCCTTTTCAGTGCTTTTACTCCACAAAAATTGTGATAAATATTTCTTCACTGATACACAAGAGGTCTGTTAATTGTAGGTTTGTCATTCTAAAGTGAAATCTCTATGAAGATTTGTATACATGAACTTCCCTTATACAGCTCCTTTCTGTCACATATACTTACTGTTTCATGCATATACCACTGAACTGAAAAATACTCTTCTTTATCCTTATATTAAAACTTTCTATCAGGCTTGCTCTATAAAAAATATTCAGTAAATAACACAATTTGTAAGTATGTTTTTAGTATATTAATAAACTGTAGGACACCAAATTAAAAAAAAAAAATAAGAACAGAAAAAAAGAGCCTGACCTTTTTCCTCGTTAAGCATTAGATTTAAGGTGGATATTATCATCACGTTCATTCCAAGCTGAAAAACAAAGATCCAGTTGAAAGAGAATATAAGCAATAGTAAGCAAAATGGTCCTCCTAGGATGCTACAATTTCAATGTTAAGTGATTCTTAATTATTCCTTCATATTTATGAACATCGAAATGGAGAGGTTGCTTTGAATATTGTTTTTCCTCTGAAACAAATACCTGCTTCCACTTCATGTTTTGCACACAGTTCATTTCCAAAAAAAAAACATAGCACAGAAAAGATAATCTAGTATTTAAAAAAATGTTAACACACAACTTCTTAAAAATACATTCTATTAAAGTTTACTCGGTAAACAATGCAATACAGTCCTCAACTGTACACATGCTGTTAGTTTTGGGTAAGATTTTGTGTTTCTTAAGCCAAAATCCTCTTCCCCTTCTGCCTGCCCCAGAGAGAGGTGAGAACATCAATCCTCCCTGCCCTCGCCAGGCTGCTTCGTTAGGGATTCTGACTCATCAACTCACCATCCCTGTGCCTGGAGATTTGCAGTTAAGAATGGCAAGGTATATTTAGCCTCATAAGATGAGCAAAGTACATAAATGTTAATGTCTGTATATTTTTTGGTTGAAATTTTACCTAGCAATTTTCAGACATATTCACACTGACACCTTAGTAAGCATAAATTACACTCTCCCATTAACTGTGAAGATTACAGTCTGGCTCTTAGAAAATGAAATGTTTACTTCCAACGATAATAAAAAGCATTCTGTTCTCCACCACAGTACACAGGTTGTGAAACTCTCTCCTTGGAAGTATTTTTGTCATTCACACCATCCAAAATTTAAAATTTTGAAATTAGGATTTAAAACTTCCTATTTAGGATTAAAGATTTTACGTACTTATAAATCAATTCTCTGCGTATGTTTGCAGAAGTACAATTTTAGGAAAAGAAGTATGAGTAATTTCAGACTCAGAGATGGGGAATGTGGAGTTTTGATGTTAGCAACCTTCAATAAAAGCCAAAATTCTGGCACTGTCACTAAGTGCCTACAGCACCGCCCTGCACAACAGTCTTCAAGACTTCCAGAATCCAATTCTTTTGCCACTGCTTCTTTCTTTTCAGCTCTTCCCTCCATGGAACCTTGACAAGGGTAAAATGTTGCTAACGTGGACTTCTATCAACAAAAGCCAATATAGTGTGCCTATAAAAAAGGATAGTTAGGCTATCAAATGAACTTCATGTAAAAGGATTTTTGTATCTTTAAGCGCCTTCTTCCTCCCTCCTCAAAAACGTAGGGTATGTTTTAGGGCCTGAAAAGGACCTCAAAGACTTCCTGGGGAGCATGATTACTCACACCAGGTCCCAACTACTCTAAAAGCCTGCTATTGCATCTCCTCATGACAGCCCTGGGTTTAACACAGAGCTCTGCCAGCAATCCATAGCTTTGCTTGCTTGGTGCACTACAAAACATGACTTTACTACACGTGCAATAAACTGCACAAACCCTAAGCCAGACATAAAAAGGTTTGGGTCTCCTCAGAAAGAAATGAACAAAAGGGTGAATCACATTCAAGCCTGACAAGACTATTGCACCAGCTCATCAAAGCAGAGCAAACAAAAACCAGGGTAAAGGACCACAGGCAGCCAGAATTTAAAACCATGTGTCCCTATAAGGAGGCATTACACCCAAGAGTTTAAGAACCAACCATAAAAGAGAAGAATCCAGAAAATGCACTATTTCATCCCAAACAGAGGAAAATATACTGTGCTAGATCCTAACTCAAAACTCAAACAGACCTTTATTCTTGAACAATGTTACGAGTCCCAGGAAATGCAGAAGGTTTGTACCTAACAGGTATCAAACATACTCTGGCACCACTCTCCAAAAAGTGAGCTACTGGAAAGCATTCTGGCAAAGAATCATTTAGTCAGCTCTAATTTAAAACTTCATTAAAAGAAATTCCTTCAGTAACACAAACATATTCCGTCAAAAACCCCCACAAACAAAAGCCATCAGTGTCATCAACTCTGGACTCTTGGCAGAAAAATCTAAAAAATGTGATTTTCAACCAATAGGTATCTCCCTGCATTTAAAAAAAAAAAGTGTTTAGTTCTTAAGTTACACTTTGGCATACTATCTCAATGGAAGTGTGAATTTAAGGCAATGAAAGGCAAACTTCCCAGTGTTGCTGAACCTGAATTTCTCACTTCATTTTAAATGTGGACTTTCCAAAGCACTCAAAGCATTTTATTTACAAAAAAAAAGGTTATTTATTCTTCTTAAAAGTGCTGTAAGGAAATAAAGTAAATAGAATATACCTTAAACTATTTACCTTGAAGAAGATTACTAGTAACAAAAAAAGTTCTCTAAGTTGGACTGTTTTCTCTTAATCCTCGGTGCAAATTAAACTTGCCTTTTCTCCCTGCTCTTTTCTCTTTCAAATCTGTACAGCAACCACTACCATTGCTTTTGATAAAATTCTTATCTTTTTTAAAGTTTTATGGCCCTCCTACAGTGTTCTCTTTTTTCCCCCCACCACAAACAAACCTCATTCTTCCTGCTGCTCTTTAAAAGGACTGCTTTTAAAATCTGCCACTAGTTCGTTGCTCTGCTTTCTCATCTTCCCACTAATAAGAACTTTCCATAAAAGACCACGTCCAGTACAGCAAAATATATTCTAAGGTCTCACTGACAGTGAACACTTACAGAGTCTGAAAAAAGACACTGATGTTTGTAAAAACTCTCAGCACTTGAGAAATGAGTATTTGCGATCTTTGTCATTTTTCAAGCACTTCAATCATCTTCCTCTTATACAGGGACATGCAATAAACTCAGATGCAACACAGAAAATTCTGAATAAACGTATGGAAGGAAAAACTTTCATATCGAGGATGACTCAATAAACTGCTGGCAATGGTCCAGAGAAGCTGTGGGTTTCAAACCTTGGAGATGCATAAATGTGAAGTTAACAAAGCTCTGGACAATCTTTTCAGAGCTGCATCAGATGACCTCAGTGGCAGAAAGTCGAAGTGGGGCTCAGTACCCAGTGATGTATCCTAGGAAATATCCCCGGAAATCTGAACATCTGCTTTCAGGAATTTACAGAATTAAGCACATAAGCCAGAAAAACAAATATTTCTGAATACAGCTACAATGTTGTATTCCATAGGTACAATTTACAAATACATGGGGAAAATGATATGAACAGGCCCTCCAAATTTTCACAAAATCTGATCAAAGAAGATTGGTCTTCTGTTACATCTCTCAACTGAAAGGGATAGCTCTCTAAAAAACAGAGATTCAAAATGAGTTCTGGTCATCAAGTATTCTGTGGGAATGCTGCATGTATCGGTTCAGAGGTGATCAGACAGAATTCTATATTTTCTCTGAAGAAGAAATCACTGATAAGAATGAAAATGTACTGGTGTGTTTAAGAATCTTATTTTGAAGCAATGGATATAGTACAGATACTGCACTGACTCATTAAGATGACCAAACAATCTGTTGTAGATTAACATAATTTTATTTAAAAAGAAAAATGTACATATTTCTTCAAGTGGGGCACTTCAGATTAGGGATCTCTTCAGTCTTTTCTGGAGGGATTTAAAAAAGCTTTGGAGAAATCTTAAAGCTATGGAATTAGCCTGGTATTTATAGCTCAGTTTCCTACTGTGTTCTTTGAGCTTCTAGGACATTTTTTTTCTCCATCTGCTGGTTGTTGACATGGTATAACCTTATATTTTGATTATGAAAATGTATAAGAGCAAATGCTTTGCACTTTACTGTAAAGTTTGCCTTCAGCTCAGGGCAAGGCAGCTATGCTCTGCCACTACTATATCATGTAGGTCAAGAACTGCTGTATATTTTCTGATACAGACAAATAGATTTCTATTGTTTAATTATATCAAAATATATTACTACCAATCATGACTAATACTCCATATGAATCATGCTGCCACAAAATGATACTTTTCATACCATTAGAACACTGTACATTGTACGCTGTTTCAAGAAAATCTGCTAAATCTAGGTCAAGAACGCTTTCTTCTTTGTTCTGTTATCAAAAAGGTCCACGTATCAGTGCACTGTTTATCTCATATAAAGATATAAATTGCCAAATTGCTTACTTTTCTACTTTACCACCATTAAATGTCGAAGACATCCATTGTTCTGGTTACTTTTTTTCTTTTAATGCTGCCTGAAATCTTTTGTATTATGTGACTTGAAATACATTTCACAACAACCCTCACTAGTGAAACTATCAAAATAAAATAAAAGTTCTTTGACTTAAGAAATGGACTGATTTACTTTTGAATACTCACCTACATTACTCCTCATGGTCCTGCTTCTAGTTACCTTGGGGATATTTAGTCTTCTTAGAATTCTTGATGCACTTGGAGATTTGCTTTAGATATTCTCCTGTTGAGATCTCGATAATGGGCTATGTCCATTGAGGCTGGCTCCTTGTCTTATTGCACCCCTCATGTGAGAAACTCTCGCACGCCAGGTTACATCTATTGAGACAGTAGAATGATTTAAACTAAAACACTAATGTTTTTATTTCATTTCTCTTGATTGCCTCCTAAGCCTTACCCAATGACTTTGTAGCAAAAATTGAGATAATATTTGCTGTTAAGGAAAGCAAGGATGGCTCTGACTGGAACTGATAAGAAATAAATAGCTTTTAACAAATTATGATGGTTCACCGTCCACAGGAATGGGCAGATTTCTAGAAAAATCAGCTTCAGATTTTTATAACAGTAGAACTAGCATGAAACTGTATAATACAAAGTACATGTCTTCAGACAACTGTAGCTGTCCTGACACATGCTAATAGCCTTTAACTAGTAATGCTAGAAGTTAGGCTTTAGAGAGTTAAATACCACAGCTAATACTACACGATAAATAGACTACAAACACAGCAGCAGTCTCTCTCTTCTAAAACCTTGGTTATGTAAAAGGCCCTATCAGTACTGTATATGAGCTACTGCAGAGGTATACAGACACAGGTGAAGCCCCAGCTCCAAGAGCTCATGTGTTATCACAGCAACACTTGCCTATTAAAAACAAAAGCACTGGGCTTCTGTGGAGCCATTTCCTTTGGAAACAACAGCACCACGTATCTGTAACCCTCCACGTGAGCACAACAGTTTCAATTTCTCTGACACTGAAAGGAGTTAACAACCTTTGCAGGACTTTAAGTCAATTAATTAGTTCTTATAGAACTGAAATGGATTGGAGCTCATTAGGTTAAAGACATAGCTAGAAGAGTTGACGTTGGCCTTTAAAGCATTGTACCTGAAAGCCTGAGGACTCGGTAAGAGAACACAGCTAGAAACCAGAAATACACTTTTAACAAATTCAGATTTATAGGCAATTTCCCAAGTTATGAACACATCTTTCATTGAAATGGATGCAACATAACCCATCAACAATTTCTGCATCCTACAGACAGCCGGAAGAATTTGCTCTGATTTACAGATCACTTATTTGGGACTCCTTTTAAAGACATCTGTCACTGTAGCAAAGGCCTTTGTTGCTGTTACAAACCTTTTCCTCTTACATTACAACATCATACACATTATACAAACATATAACAAAAATTTCACATAGGTGATATGAATTGGGTATAAGGAGGTAAGTCACAGGAAGTACACTGGTAGCACATACCACGGTATTTATTATGATTCTTAAAATATTCAAGTCTGTAAGGAAATCCTTTTTGCCTTCTTGGTGATGGGCTGGTCTTTAACTTTATTGACTTTATTAGTAGTTGCAATTTTACTATCAGTTGACTGGCACCTAATTTCAGGGCAAAGCTGGGGCATGACATCCTGTAACAATGAATCTGCCTTTTTGCACTGAATTCAGCAGCCCAGTAGAGCCTTCCAGGCTCTGTTTAGAAGGAAAACTATTTAGAGAGAAAATGTTTGACAGCAGTTATTTGTTTCCAGATTACCTAGTCCATATATATCATTAAAATGATTAAAATGAAAATTAAATAATAATAAAAAAATAATACTATTATTGGGAAAAAAAAATCTCTTCCCATTCATTAAAATGGCTTACAACAATCCAAACAGAACCATGTGACTTTATAAAGGCAGGAGGTCTAAATACTGATTACACACCACTGAAATACACTGAATTTGATTAAGTGAAAAATTGGAACATAATTATAAGAAGAAGGATGTCGTGGTACAGACATCCAGGTACATCCAATGGAGATGGCAAAGCACTCAACTTTCTCCCAGTATTATCAAGCTCCAAGCAATGGGCCTGAGCTGCTGGTTTTAGCTTATTGAGAACCTGAATGTCAGTGTTTTATAAATCACTCAGAAATTCTGAATCCTAAAATCTGACATGTAAATGGCACACTTTAAACATAAGAATTTCTTCTCCTACTGCAGAAATGACAAACGTTTAATGTTTCCTCTGTATGTAATTTACTCTTTACATAAGCTGCATGATTATTTTTAAAGGAACGTTTTTACTTGTTATTAATAAAACTATAGATGAATGCTTTAAGAATCTGTGACTTCAGAGCAGCTAATTTTTACAGTGACAAAGCAAATAGAAATACGACATAACTTTTTATTAAATAGTTTGCAGACAAATATATTTTAGATTACGTTTTTACTGTGCATTAAATATTCTTCAGATAAAATTACTTATTAACGTTTAATCACATTGAAAGGTATTGATAAGAGATTTTTGTAAAGGCTTTCCTAAAGCAAAAGCACAGCAAACAATATAAAACTGATTTACTGGAAACAATTTCAATAGATGGATGAAACAGCCCAACAATGAAAGCTATGTCATACCAGGGCTTAAAATAACTAGGTCACGTGGACAATACTGAAGATTTAAGTAGCATCAGTAAAAGAAGCCTCTACCAAAGGCCTCAAAAAAAGCATTACTAAAATGAATTCAAATAAAGAACCCAGTTTTTAACTTATAGCATCTAAATAAAATAGTAACAATACATTAATTATAAGAATTGTCTGTACTGAACACACAGAAATGGAAACGTGTAAGCAAAGATGTAATTAAACTTTCAGCTGGGAAAAAAAATTACCTTTACTGTACGTATTCTATTTACAAACCTACAAGCATCAAAGTAATAGTATCACATTCAGCACATGCTGTCAGTGTCTTATATGACCCTCAAAAGTCCCACATGGTGACTCAAGAGAATTTCTGTGGTTAATTCAATAGGCTCCATATTGCTTTTCCCCTCCTGAAAGTCTTGTTCTCACCCTCCTTTTATCCTGCCTCTCAATCCTTCTTTACCTACTAAGAATTACCAGGTCTCAAGACTGATTGGACCTGATGATTCAAGATCTTTTCCAACCTCTGATTCTATGATGAAGTATTAAAATAATTATTTGTAAAAAAGTTGTGAAGGGTGGGTTTTTGTTTTTTGTTTTTGTTTTTTTTTTTTTTACATTAAAAGAATGGATACTTAACATTATAAAAATCACACTTCTGAAAATCTGCTATTTAATGTAAGAGTGATTGCACAGACTATCCTAGTCTTTATTAAATAGTCAGCACTGCACCACGCACAAGAAGACCAGTTTATTTTTATCATTCAGAGATAAGTATAGGGCATTCATAGTGATTTCACTATATTTATTTTCCTATTGCATACATATCCATAACAATAAATTTTCCAGCAAGTTCTTACCAAGTTGCTGGAATCTGACGGTGGATGTATTTCTGGGGAAAAGCCATCTGTTTTTTTTCAGTGAATGTGCTTTCTCATTTGCTTGTGAGCTTTCTATTTACATAACAAGTCTGTGATAACAGAGTAAAAGAAATCCTGTCCCCATCTAATCTCCCAAGATACATACAGAATTCTTACAACTATGGCATTTGATGCATCTAAAATTAAAGAGAGACTCTACTTTTTATAAAACTAAATAAAAATGCCAAAAAGTGATCTTCCAGTAAAAGAAACAAACTCAGGAACTTTTCAGCTCTGTGCTGTCACAAATACGTACAGGAAAAAAAGGCACTCTGCCAGTTCTCTTTAATTTTTTAAGGTCTGTTTTATCTACCTATCGTCTACAGCAATGCTTCTTCATTGGCTGTTTCTCATACTCTCATATATTCTTCCCATTCTTTCCATTTACCCTGTGACAGAATTGAGAAATGCTTCTCCAAAAGTGTGTCTTTCAAATCACAGTCATGGGCTGCACGCTGGAAAAATCTGGCAGAAGTTCAGAGACCTAATTAAAGCATCCAGCCTGATATCCTTTTATTTTCAATATAATATTTTCCCATACATATGTGGCATGAAGAGAAATGGTGGGAATGACTTACCTCAAATCCAGAAGATCGGTGGAGGTAATCCACCAGATTTTGGTGGTTCTCTGAATTTTTGGAAAGAGAAAGTGAAGTGCTGTTTCTTCTAGTCTTTATATTTTTCTGTCTGTTATGTTTCGATTTTAGCCTCTTCTTCCTACAATAAAAAACATGTTTTAATAAAACACGATTTGCAGAAAGACAAACTATCAATACCTGTACTTAATGCAGACTGCATGGCTTCTCCAAAAGACTGCTTCACTACACAAAAACCATGGGAACAGTCTCAAAAGCAAACACTGAAAAGAACTGGTTGGTTTTATCAAGGCTGTCTCAGTAGTCAGTGAGGAGAGGTAGAGTTCAAAGTGTGATGTAAAATAAATGAGTGTAATCTGGTCCCAAATACAGCTGTATTCTTAACTGCCCTCTAGAAGGACCTCTATCTTTGATGACCATAAACAGAAAGCCCTGTGTCCAAGCGTAGAATGGACTCTGGCTATATCCTCTTGCTACACGTTTGCACAGAATTTAAAGTGATAGAAATACAGCCTCTAGAATGGATAAGGGTAATTTTATATTAAGTGTTCTACAGAAGACCCCCATAACCCTCGTGGGCCTTCAAATTTGGGATATTCTGTAAATACCATAAACCTTCAAAGAACTGAAAATGTAAAAAAAGACGTGCAGAGCTCATTATTTAGAACTTACTTATATACAGCCATAATCACACTGAAATCATTACTGAAAGTAATGCTTCCTATTTATTTCCATGGAGATGACAATCAATGCAAAGAACACAACAGTGATACAGTCACCACCCTTAGCTATGCATTCTTGCCAGCAATGAAAAAGAGCCTGCGTGTCGTTCTTGCAAAAATCTGCACCAGTGGAGGTGACCCACTGCTGCTGTCACCACTGCTGACATGCAGCAGCCCCCCTCACAGTGCTCACACCCACTGCTTGGTCTCCATAAATGTTCACAAGCATCAGTGAATGTGAATGGGTGCCATGTTTCCACAGAGAGGAATTTAATGGCATTCCTTTGCTCCATACATATACATACTTCCATGTCAGACATCAGCTGGTCCAAGTGCCCCTTTGCTGCCGTCACATCATGGGATATTGGTGGAAAGGTTCAACCACAAGCTGAGTCAAACCAGGGCCTTGTATTTCATTACGCAACATCAACAGCCACTGAAAATCTCCATGCATGTGATTACATCTGGGCAAACACCAGGGGCCACAGGACCTTCAGGTTTCCGCAGGGCAGACCTGGAACCCTGCAGAAAGCCTGCGAGCTGGGAGGAGGCAGTGTGCTTCCTCACCTCTGTTTTATGGAAGGCTGTGGAGCACACACTGCAGCCCCAAGCTGCTTCCTCTCCTCCACTAACGTGGCTCCAGAGAATCAGATAAGGGAGCCGATTTGTGTATTTCTGTCGGATTAGTCTTAACCTACATTGGTGCTCTAATCTCTGTGGCTGGAGGCACGCGGGTGCTGGAGCGGTGCAGCAGGGAAGGGCAGGGCCTGCTTCTGCTTGGAGCTCCTCAGGGTTCCTTCCCCACCTCCTTACTTTAAAACGTCACGCTATTGCAAATGTCTTCTTGCCTGGTTTTCATAGGAGGACTCTGGTATTTTATTTAATTGTTTAAATAAAAGCAGTATTTAGCTGTCTACGCATTCAAAACATTTTAGAATTAAGTTTAGAATATAACAGCTGTGATACTGATGAGTAGGTATGTCTAAAAACCCGTTCTGAGTACCTGATAAAAGTCATCATAAAGGTGTTGGAAATGATGAACCTTGTTTTTCTTTTACTGACTAGAATTCCTATATATTACCTAATATTTCCCAGGTATTTGGTTAAAGCCAAATTAAAACGTAACAGATGTCCTAACAAAATGAGAAATAAATATCTGAACTTCTGAGAGATCCTTTGCTCGAACACATGGCCTTTTACAAGTGTGCTACTCTTCTGTATTGGCTGAAGCTGCCTATCCTAATGTAACATCAGAAATGCATGTTAAGTACCCCCACCACTGTGTGAATTATGTTAGAGCTCAAAGGAGCACAGCAAAAAAAGGTAGATCCCTTAGAGAAGCTCATTTAAAAATTAGCCACAGCACTAAGGCTAACATACTAACACATTTGTTTTACTTCTGTGATGCAAAGCTCTAAGGCTAACATACCAACATATTTGTTTTACGTATGTGATACATAGCTGCAAGGCTAACATACTAACATTTTTCACAGGTTTGGCAATGGTGTCACTGGAGTGGATGTAGCTTTGAACAGAGAAGATGTAAGAAGGGATACTGTCTTTTTTTGTCACCGGTTAGAGGAAAAAAGAAGAAATGGATTTTTAATTTGAAAGCAGAGAAAAATCAGAGACATCAAATTATCAAATCTCCATCCTATAAATCCTACAACTCTCATACGTTCATAAAGAAAGTGACAACTACTAATAATATATCTTACAAAAAACGAAAATGCTTTTATTTATAAAAAGCCTTGGTTTTGACAGGAAAGGTGCATGCTACTATTCAGAAACAGCATACATACAGCCTTCACCCAGCAATTTCAAAACAGAGCGAAAACAATCAAATTGACAAATAGATCAGTTTCCCACCATAAAGAAAATCACTCCTATGTACAACCTTGGGTAATAAAGAGGTAAGCAGAGCGCAGGCCCATGTGCCACAGCACTCATCTCACCTAACTGCTGGTTGCTATGGCAAGCATTTGCCCGTGTTTTGTACATTAAACTGTAATATGTTTTCTGCTTCCTTCCTCTTGGTATTTTGATGAAGTTAACACTCGAGCTTTGGGCTTGAAAGATACGAAAACTGTAAGTTCTCTCAAATAATCATGCATTCCAATTTATTTTGGTTTTCCGAAAACATCTGAGAATCAAGTGATATATTTAAAAAATATTTTCATTCATCTGCTTGTGATTTATTTCCATTAGCTACTTTGCGTACCTGTTGTAATCACATTTCTACTTCCTAACTCACAATGGAAATGTAATCTACTTTTCTCCTTCACTGATCTTTAATTTAACACAGAGATAGCCGTGAAACCGATGAGAACTGAGATGAGATCCAAATTCTAGTTCTGTATAATACCAATTTGCCTTTCCCCCACTTTTCGTCTTTGAATAAATGTTAGAGATGAAAAAGAAAGAAAATACGAAGAACTTCACACAGCCATTACTATGGCAAACTAACAAGTAATGGGGTGCTTTTCTGGGATGGTCTCTCCTGCAATACAGTGACATTTCAAAAGATGTGTAGCAGCCAACTCTTGCCACAATGCCACAGTCATCCTAATGAGGAATGGTCATCCATTTTTTTCTTGACCTGCATGACTAACGTGAAGCTTTACTATAAAAGTAGAACTATCTCAAAGTGAAGGCTCAATTAATTAACCACAATAGAGAAACACCACCTTCTTCTCACCACTGATCTCCACACCAGACCAACTGTAAACTCAAACATCTGTTGACAGAAAGATTCATGAGAGTATTTGTGAAGTTACAGATATATATTTTTAGGGGAAATTAAAACAAAAGAATTGTTGCTTTTGATAGTAATGGCATTTTCCACTGTCAGTGTGTATGTGCTTTCCTTCTTTCCCCACACGTGAGAAGAAGGAAGTTGTACATGTCTCGATTTGTCTACTGCATCATTTCTTGGCATTAGAAACTAATAAAGAGAATTTCATAGCATGGTCAGTGGAACTGGATTATGACTTTTTAACCTCTCTTGTGCTTCGTAAGGTGTAAGAACTGCAGAGAGAGTCCTAAAGCATACTTGCAAATTGCAAAAGGGCAATTACAAATGCATTAAATGCCTCATATTTACCTTAATATCCCTTGTTTAGTAATGCTCAACATAGTTGAAGCACAGGACACAGAACTTATCTGAAGACAGCTAGAATAGCCCTTCCTCCTGCCTAGCTTTCTTGATGACCCTTCAGTGAACAAACAGGTGAATAAGCATGCCAACAGAGTAAGTAAGAGATGAGAGGTATATCTGGACTTTAAGATGCACCTCATACCTAAGGCCTTGAACTTGTTAGGAAAAAAGAAATTTATCATCACATAACAAACTGCCTTCTTTTAGGTATGATATGCTATCGTTCAAAATGAAATACTCTTTCCTAAACTGCGTTGGCTCTTATTTAAAAAGTCGTGGCACAATTCCCTGCGGCTGACAATCCCTGATGGCTGTCAGCTCTCGCCCTGTAATGAGCAGCTCTCTGCACCACTGCAGCCTGCCTCAACTGAGCCGGGACCTCAACAGGCTTGAAAGGTGGGCCAGGGTGAACCTGATGAGGTTCAACACGGCAAAGTGCAAGGTTTGGCACTTGGGCCGGAGGAATCCCAGGCATCCATACAGACTGGAAGGAGCGGTCCTTGAGAGCAGCCTTGTGGAGAAGGACCTGGGGGTCCTGATGAAAAACTTAACATGAGCCAGCAGTGTGCTCTTGCAGCTCAGAAAGCAAATGGTATCCTGGGCTCCATCAGAAGAGGGGTGGCCAGCAGGGACAGGCAGGTGATTGTCTCCCTCTACTCTGCTCTTGTGAGGCCCTATCTGCAGCACTGCGTCCAAGTGTGGAGCCCCCGGTACAAAAAAGACAGGGAGCTGTTGGAGAGGGTCCAGAGGAGGGCCATGAAGATGATCAGGGGACTGGAGCACCGTCCCTGTGAAGACAGGCTGAGGGAGCTGGGCTTGTTCAGCCTGGAGAAAAGAAGGCTGCAGGGTGACCTCATTGCAGCCTTTCAGTACCTAAAGGGAGCCTACAAACAGGAGGGGAATCAACTCTTTGAAAGGGTAGATAACTGCAGGACGAGAGGAAACAGTTTTAAGTTGAGGGAGGGGAGATTTAGGTTGGATGTCAGGGGGAAATTCTTTACAGAGAGAGTGGTGAGGTACTGGAACAGCTGCCCAGAGAGGCTGTGGATGCCCTGTCCATCCCTGGAAGTGTCCAAGGCCAGGTTGGATGCGGCCCCAGGCAGCCTGGTCTGGTATGAAATGTGGAGGTTGGTGGCCCTGCATGTGGCAGGGGGGTTGGAGATTCGTGATCCTTGAGGTCCCTTCCAACCCTGGCCATGGATGCTCCAAAGGAATTCACATAGGGAAGGCACTGCACCACCT